GCTATCGATTAACTAACGGATAGTAAAACGAATATGACTCATAATTAAACGTAGGTACATTTCGTATTTGTGTAATCAAAAAAACCAATTATTAATTAGTAACCAGTAATGTACTTTTAACCAGTCACTGTAATTAGAGTTTATGAATGAATTTAATTAGTCGATTGAATAATTTCAAAAGTTGAGATTATGAGTCAACTGAAGCTAGACCACCATGTAAAACGTGGAAGCACTGGAGGGCCGTTTCGTCACATTGTGGGACTACTCAGCAGTGCGCATCGACGATCCCGCCCCACGAGATTCGAACCCAGTACCTATCGGTCTCGCGCGGGAACGCTTAACCTCTAGACCATTGGGCCCCCATCCAATGGTGTTAATTTATAACTTCTAATAATCCACGAAATTGAGCGACACATTCACCATTGTTGTCAATGAGTTACTATTTCATAACAGACCTGACTGAACTCCACTGGTCACTGCTTCTCACTAGAACTCCAGGAAATACCTCTTGAAGCCAGTCACTAGTGAATATATGCGGAATCGTTAATGCGCACTGTTGAGGAGCCCCACAATAGGATGAAACAGCCATCCAATGCATTCAGACTTTCTATGATGGTCATGCTTCAATTGACTCATGATCCCACCTATTGAAATTACGATGATATTCACAAAAACCCTTTCGATTAAATAACTTTATTTAAGTAAATAGAGATGATCAATTTGAACATTCTTCTGTTCAATTTTTATTTTACATAATTAGCATTAAAACTAAACAAAAAAATGAACAGATTTTAAACATTTTGTTAATTTAATTAACAATTTGTTATAACAGAAAACCTGATAAACATGATGTATGAAGCTAATGTTTAGAATGTCTATTAAAAATATCGTGGATTTGGTTCAATCATATGCTATTCATAACCTTCACGTCCATTAAGTAGTTTGACAACTGAGTTTTCAAACTGTTTTAGTATACCTTCTCATACTCTTTACAACTTTTGATGATTTTTTTTCAGTGTAATTAATTTTCATGTATAGCATTTAATTGAAAGCAAACACTCAATCTGTTTTTATCTATTTTCCTTTCAAGGAAGATAAATTTTCAGGCATAAAAATGAGAGAGAAACAGAAACGAAATTGACAAGAGACGTTTTTCAGTATATGACACCAAATATTGAATAAATGAATTAAGTCGAATGTTGTCAGTTTTTGTAAACGATCATTACAACATTCACAAAATAATTTTGGTCACTATACCTCTTATTCACGTTAAAAGACAGAGGAAATTAATTAAGTCATTAAATGAAGATAGTTAGGCGAAAGAAAATTTCTTTCTTTACTATGATCACATTCATACATACTTTGCACATTTTAATCTATTATGAAATAGAAAATTTTGTTGTCAGAGTTTTACAAAATTTGGTTTTAACTTGTAGGTTGTATTTCTCGCAGAGTGATCTCAGTTAACATACTATTGAAAACCAGGGGGCACTAGAGAGCTATTTCGTCCTTGTATGGGACTGCTAGACATTTTGCCCTCTTGAATTCACCAAATATTGAACCTAAAACCTCCAAACCTCATGACAAACTCTCAGCCGTTAGAAACCTTGGGTTACCTCCTAGTGGTGAAATTTCAACCTTGGTAAGTTTAAGAAGAAGCGTGACGATAAGCAAATGTCATTAGTAGCAATACTATCTAAATCCAGCCAACCATGACCTCTCATTAGAACTTCATAAACATCTTGAAGTAATTCATTAGTGAGTTGACTATTATAGCTTAGTCGAACGAGTTTTGTGTAAATTAGTCATAGTTTGTAGTTTTTATATATTATAGTTTTTACCATGGAATATGAAGATCGTGAATTTGATCTCCGTTGACCTCGTGGGTAAAAACTGATGAGAAGTGCCATACTAGGTAAAACAGCTGTACGGTGTTCCATAATCATTATTGGTACCTTAACTGAAATCATTCTGTGACGAATACACACTATAAAATAGAAAATTGTTACCTCATTAACGAAGATACCAAAATGTGATCAGAATTTCAAGTGTCCAATAAAGTTAGAAAATAGTCTGAAAGTAATAAAAATGATAATAAAATATGAAAGAGAGTTGTGAATATTAATTTTCAGCATTGAGGAATATAAGGAAGACAAAGAAGAGATTAGCATGTGTCAAAATTAATTTATGAAATAAGAAGTAATTACTAACACCATGTAGAATAAACAATTAGACAAAACGCCTTTGTACACATCAGTTGATAAATTCCTAAATCCTCCGTTATGTACAAATTTCTTATGCAGCTTCCTCTAGAATCTGTTCATTTTTGCTGATAAATTTAAATGAGGATTTTGGTAGAGATCTATGTTCAGAATATATCAGATTTTTTAACAAAAATACTGTTGTCTGACTTACATTCACCTTTAGATGGCCATGTTAGGTCATGTTTGAATATGTGTTTGGAAACCGCACGCTTTTTACGCCTAGTTTGAAGTGATAATTTTAGTCTGTTCTTGTTTAAAATTAATTACTATTATTGTATAACTTGGATGATGATCTTTATTCCATACAAATAATATACAATTATCTATGAATAATGTGTGTATCTTTCATATTTAGCGAATTATTTTAGCAAAAATTTTATTTAATTTCTAGGATCAAAAATCAAATCAGACTTTATCAGATTTAAATCTAACATTATAAGTTTTAAAGTTTAACTACCAATGTTCACTTATAATACATTGGTCTTGTAAAGCATTTGTACGACTTATATGTCATTTTATCACACTTAGCAGTAGTTGAGAAACTACTAAAAACTAGGGAACGGTGATAATCAGGAGTATTTGAATTATAGTACGAACTAAGAACCCTAGAAATAACGCAATTGGATCAAGAAGTACTAGATAAGCACGAACGAATGTACTGTATTTGAAATTCAAAATCAAGCATCCAATATGTACATAGGAATCAGTAGTTCATCCACACACCACAGTAACACTATAGAGGTATTTTGTTTAGATCTGCGCTCTTCAGACAACCCAAAAACATATTTGACCTATAAACTTCAAGTCCTCCAAATAACTTAGTGAATTGATAGATAAAAAACGTGTATTAGTTATTGGATAGCCTTCAGGTGGCTTAGTGTCGTGTTTGGAAAGTCATGACCTCTGTAGTTAACCAAGACAGGAATAGGACAGTAACGTTAGGTTAAAACCCTTCTGATGTTTGAAATTCAAATCATTCAATGAAAACTCACTGTCCTTTCTTTATCATGCATAATATGAACCCTGAAGGTCACGGTTTATCGTATGTGAAGTTACAGGTGGAAACTTTTAGGGAATCACCAACTGAGATTACATACTTATCTATTGTTTTCTGGATATCAATCATTAGCCAACTGGTTTTAGTTTACTCTTGCAGCTACTTTTAAAATATTAGTAGTTTGTTGCACGTAACGTGTAACTACTCATTTATTAATCCAAGATAATTTGAACTGCTATAGAACAAGAATCATATAATCTACCATCTTATATGTAATCACTTTCCGAATTGTATTTCGAATTAGGTAACTATCTTGAATAATGGAATAGAAATAACTTTTTCAAATATTGTAAGACCTGGGACATACCCTAATAGTGCGTTTCAACGTTTTGTTTTCAGAGTTTTACTATACTGGATCTTTATCTCAGTCAACCAAATAATCTTAAACAAATTATAAGTATAAGAATAACTCTGAAAACCATTAGTGTCTAACTTTTGCGCTGATTATTAAAAGGATTTAATGATTCCTGTGAACATTTATAAACTGACTATTAATAAATAACTTAAAAAATGGCAAATTAAGTTATCATTTTGATTTATTTTGGATATCCAACAAATCCATATCGCCAGTCCTTGTGATTTCACTATAAGTTGTCGGGTTCCGGGTTTCATTAAGAAACGCAAGCCAGTCAAGGGTTTCTCCAGACATAACAATAGACAGAGATGACAGTGTCAACTTGTTTAGTGTACTGGGAATTGTCAAAACATTGTAATAGGTTTTTTTGAAGTATCTTGTGAGGTTAACTATCTTTTAATGTTTAGTAAAACTGCAGAATTTAGAATTTTTGAGCATTTCTGTCATTCATTTAGTGGGTGAGTGTTGTATATAAGAGCATGATTTTCAATAAAGTTTCCATTTCCATCATCTAAAGCTATCTGCGTATGTCTTTTATGAACACCTCATTGTAATGCATCTCAATTTGCAAGTTGAAAAAGCTGAACTGATTGGAAGTCACAGCCTAAAATGAAGTCGTCAGTGAAAGTAATGCTCTTGCATGCACCTTTTATTGATTAAGTGAAGGGGAAAATATCCAAAAATGCTTGATACCGCACACATACTGAATAGTGAAAAACGCTATGAATTAATGAACACTCAATCTATGTTATAGAATCTTGTCATTAAACCGAATGCAAATTCATTGCCTTTTAGTGTTTTAATGGCTTATTTACAAGAATATTGTTGTTGAGCATAGTAGTACGTAATGCATTATTCTTTCTGTATTTACGTTATAAAATAGATCATTTCTTATGAAATAATATTGAAACTATATTTACTGGTTTATAATCTCATCTAACTATTGAGTCATAAGACTAAATGAAATATCTCAGATTTCATTAACTGTTGTTATTCCAATTAGATGCACATTAACAGTTTTTTCCTCACTATTTCTGAATATATTTTCAAACTTTAAGTGGGTACATGAAGTGTTATATGTCATTTTCTTTTATAGATATTATTGTTTTATTTCATCATGTTTTAACAATGTTCGAAGTAGTTGCATAGTTTCATGTTATCTATTAATTTTGTTTACAGTTTATAAGTCTTGAGTAATAATAATTTTTCATATTTCAACGTGAGCAAAGATTTAAGATGTGTCAAGTTTTTGACTGTATCAATAACTTTCCTATGAACATTAAATAAAATTTCTGTTCACTTTTTATTAATCATGATCATTTAGACATCAAGCAGCTTTATCTGATCATAAAAAACGTGTTCATGGTCCACGTGAATATATTTGTGGTATATGCTCAGCAGATTTTGCTACAGAAACTTATCTACGTTCTCATGTACGAATTCATGATGAAAAACGATTTGTTTGTTTAGAATGCAAACATGGTTTTTCAAATCCATCCGATTTAAAAAATCATATGAGGATACATAATGATGAAAAACCATTTGAATGTGAAGTAAGTACTGTTATTATTATTATTATTATTATTATTATTATTATCATTCATAGCGTTCAATGTGAGCCCTGAAGACCTTGAGTTTGATCTCCGTTTTCCTCTTGGGTGCAAACTGATTAGAAGTACCGTACTAGGCAAAAATATCTGTACTGTTCCATAGTCATTACTTTCGTAGTGAACAAAAACACGAGTGGGGATAATCGAATGTATTTGACACGAAATTACAGAGCATCTCAATAAAATCTGAGAACCATATAGTAAATAATCAATTTGCAAAATATCAATCCATTGTCTCAGATTTCATTGTTCATGCATTTTCTAACCAATTGTGTTCCGTTTCCGTTCTTTCCTTATCGATCATCCTCTGAAATACATTCTATGCCTGATCACTGTTATATACTACTTGTATGGACATAAGTAACCCACATCACACCTTAATTGAAATCAATTTGTGATGAATACAAACTATAAAACAGAAAGTTGTCACCTCATTAACGAAGATACAAAAATGTAATCAAAAATCTCAACTGTAGTGTTGTTTTTAATATCAATAATTTACGTATGATTGGGGGTTTCCTGCCTATTAATGACTTTGCAGAAACGACAGTCTAATTTATGGTTAAGCAGCTGCTAGTAATAATGACCAATATTTCGAGGAATTTCATATTTTAAAACAGGAAGAAGTCGACATTGTCAACTAATGTATTTATAGAATTGGATAGTTGACAAATTTGTGACCAAGTACATAAGTGAAACGAAGATTAGGATGTGAACGATAATACTCTCTCAAAATTTCAAAGATATCATCTTCATGTATAAAAAGTTATTACCAAGCTACTATAAAGCTATCCGTAGATATTGTTATATTACCAAAACCTACTGAAATTAATAATAAACGTTTTACTAACACGTAAGAATACTACTCCTTAATAAACACACCAAATGAAGTCTTCTGTCATTTTCGCAATAAAACTGGTTCAGCAGAAAGTTGGAATTAACCAGAAAAGTTAACAAAAAGATCACTGCAAAATAATGTAATTCAGTTGAAAAATTTCGACGAATCACTTAAACCCCAAGCTTCATCAATATCCTAAGTCTAATATTTAGGGCATTAGACTGAAAATCGTATAAAGTCCGAGTGGTTTCTACATTATCATTCCATAGAGAACCACTCACATCATTAATAATCTTTTGAATACATAACGGGAAGATGATTATTCAGTCTTAAAAATTGTTTTACAACTAGGTAGTTCACCTTAACTATTCTTTTCCGGAACCCTGAGCCATCAATATAGGATTTCTTTATAATTAACACCAATTTATCAACACATAAATTCTTTATGTAAGTACTATCCTTTTTAATGAAATTTCATTAAAGCCTTATATAATTTCACTTAGTATTATTAACTTATGAGAAAAAATCAACCTAGTTGTGAGATTTTTGTTTATTGTATGTTTTACTAAAATGGGTCAATTGTGATAGGGATATTATTTATTTAAAGAAGGGATCAAAGAAATGTTCATAAAAACGCGATTGGATTAAATTAAATATTCCATGAAATTCACTAGATGTAACCAGTAGTTGGAGTAAATAGATTTCAATGAATTAGCATATAGTTAACTTGAAATAATGGCGTGAACCGATGGATAAAAGCATTTTTAAATATGATCGGTATACTTTCATAATTCTTTCGTTTTATTTTAATTTATAAAAATCAATGTTATATAATAAGGTTAAATGCATTTTGAATTTCAGTTTGCTAGATGCTACCGAATACTTTCAAAGTGTGCTTAAATCCACATATATAACAACAATTCTAGTAAATAATGACTTAATGCTTACGTATATGTATTGGAATCTACGCTTAAAATGTAGGGAAAAACATCACTTTGCTACAGTGGGCCAGTGAAAAGTCATCAAATAAAAAGACCACTTGTATCAGTCGATCTCTTAAACGACAAATGAATGATATCGGCCAAGAAATAGCTTCATTTTCCAAACAGTAGACAATTATGTAAATGAATGAGTGTTTATACATGCAATTTGGTTTGAGTCAATAAATTATCTTCTTTAGTCCTGGTTCTCTCGCTCAGCAACCAGTTGAGAACTTGCATATAGGAAGTTTGTTTATCAGTGTCAGACGCGGACACCGCAGGTCTTAATACATTGTTGAGATTAGCGTGAAACGAAATATGTTCAAATAGTTAGAATTCATTTTATCTACCAATCAATGTGGATTCAAAGTTAGTTGAATTTCACTAATCAGGCAGAGAAGAGGATTGTACCAGGATTACAACTTTTATTCACTATGGTAAAAAGGTGCTAATATACAAGCATTTACCTGAATGTTCATTGAATTATAATACGCTTATAACATTATAAAACAGATCAAACATGATAAACTTGGGATATTCTGACACTTTCATTCAGTTCAGTTGACGGTCACTTTGTATGAGAAAAGATTTGTCAGTCTGCTCTTATTTGAAACTCCCTCAAAATGAACTTTTCTAAAAACCACAAATGCATAATGTGTAATGATTATGACATGAACAACCCGAGAATTTTGTATTGCATTCATCTAAATATTCTCATCAAAAGATTGAGATAAACCATACATTTTTGTAAATTTTTTATTCTAATCCGCCGACATGATACAAGTAAACAAAAATACTGGTTTGAATGTTAACTACTAACTAGTTATTAAGTAGTACACTAGAATACATTAGAATATTGGTCTTGGTTTCACTTTATTTCATACAAGATTTTCTTTCAGTATCTGTCTAAAACAACAGATTTAACCAACTAATGTGTTTTTATTCCATTAGGTGTGTGGAAAAGCATTTCGCCATGTTAGTGGATTTTATGCTCATATACGAATTCATACAGGTGAAACACCATATCAATGTGAATTGTGTGCAAAGAAATTTAGTAATGCAAGCAATTTTCGCATGCACAGAAGGGTACATACGAAGGAAATGCAATTCCGGTAAACTTTTCAGTCTCAAAATTATTTAAATATTATAAATATGTCAATTGTTGACTGAAAAAATTGATACTGTTGGCATTATTTCATAATTAGGGGAAAGAAAGTTAGTAATTTGAACTAGTATGACATAACTCAAAAGGCGTTCTCAGTTGTGTCAAATTTATTCCACAAGTTACATTTCAAGAGATAGATCATGTGACCTGATTTTCAACTTTCAGACATTTTTCTAGATTTATCCAAATATGACATTTAAGTGGAAACCGATGGTAGGTTTCTTATTTGCTGACACTTGTCTGGTGATTATACGTTTATTCTCAAGGAGCTAATGGTCTGGGTAGGATTCGAACCCGCTTTACGTGCCGTTGCAGTTTAAGGTGCTCCTATTAAAGTAACTCAAACTATATCGGTCTCCTATTGAAGATTATCGAAGTGTTAACTAATGGCGAGTTTGTCTAATCCATAATGCTAATCGAGTCATATTGAACAAGCTGCGATTTATCCTAACAATCAAAACTTTGTTATACTCTATTTTATAGTTTATCATTAGCCCAGTACATTCATATAATTCAGATGAAAAATCAGTTTACTCAAAGCTAGGACATTTTAGTTATTGTGCAGTTTCTATTTCAAAAATTATCATAGACCTTTCTATTCAAATGATGTTAATTTCTTTCTCTTTTGTTTAATGACGAGATAATCTATTTTTAAACAACAGCTCAAGATATAAATATACGTAAGTCACTTTCTTACACTTAGCAACATGGGATTTATTATTTGGACCCCTAGACAAATGACTACCACTGACATGATTGGTAAATATTATTCGAATAGTTGAAGGCATTATTATTTGTGATAGTAAGCATTCAGTCTAAATCATTATATAATGGTACTTTGTCTAGTAAATTGAACAATCTACAGTATAATTCACGTTAAATGTTGCCTATATATTTTAATGAATAGTTTGACAACTGTACTTTTGCAGAAAATTCAACATATTTAAACCACTGGTTCAAAATGCAATTTTTCACATTCTCATCTTGGGTCACTTTCAATATAGTACGGTCCTCATTCAATACCTCCGTTTGCGTAAGACTATTTCATAGTTTACAGCTTCCTACTAAAACCCTCACTAGTCCATCACATTAACTATTATGTAATGAAATTGTAATCCGCCCCACTAAATTCAAGTTTGTATTCCCACTGAAACCCGAAGCTCTTAAGATCTATGCCATGTAGGATCTTGAGTAGCACTCTTGAGACATCTTGGATAGAGATGAAACGGCCATTTAATGTCACGTAGTTCTCAGCAGTTGTCTAAGTGGTGTCGGTTCGTAGGCTGTGGAAATGTTATCCTGTTAAACAAAATAATTTGAAATTTGAGCTCCACAGTTTAGTTCACGATTCTTTATTTATAGATTACTAAAGTTGAAAACAAAATCATCTTTATGGGTAATTATTATTTCTGTCTTGTTAGGATAATGTTTAGCTCCTGAAATACAAATATGAGTCATTTGGTATCATCATCCTAGTAATATTATGGGACGTAGTGTATGATTATGTGTGATTATTTATGCTCCACACGACGTCTTTCCATATAGCTACTCCGATAAGCATCAATTTCAGCCAATTTATGACTTTAATGTTGTACGGTATTTTTGGCTTATTTTTTTCGATAACATTATATTTTGATAATCATTTCTTAATCATAATTATCTTTTTTTTAATATAGCTGTCAAACATGCGGTAAAGAGTTTATCCAACCAAGTAACTACAGTCGACACTTAAGAATACATACAAAAGAAAAACCTTATTCATGTAACTTATGCTCAGCAAAATTTCTTTATTCAACTTCTTTAAAACGACATCAACAACGTCATCATGGTTTAGAATTATTAAGATGTCAGTTATGTCAGAAAACATTTTTAAATGAATCATGTCTTATTCGACATCGTACTGGTTGTGAATTACGCGCTTGTGTTAAAACGGCAGATGAAGAATTATACACTCATTTATTATAAAACTAATAACATCAAGAAAATCTGTCTACACTTAACATAATACTTCTCTTTTTACAACTAGAAAATAATCATAATAATAGTAATAATGTATCAACTTATATTATAAATGAGTAGATTTATTAATCTTGTTTTGTTTAACTCTTCTTTTTATTCGCTAAAATAAATGTTCACTTATTTTTTTACACATTCAGAAGAAGATTATCAACATGGTAACTATGAGCATTATTTTTATTTGAACTATTTCACCATACTATTTTTTTCTAAAGAGAAAATCTTTGATGATAAACATTTTACGTCATTTTTTTTTCTTTTTTTATATAAACCACTTTTTATTGGTTTATTTTTGCAGTTTGTTTTCCAGTTTTTTAATATCAGATAATGTGCTTTATCATACCTTAACGTTTATTTTGTCAGATAATATTCGTAACAATGAGAATTAAAATAATAAATTTTACACATATTTTTTCTTCATAAATAATGATCAATTTCTTGAAGCCATATATTAATATTAAATTTCTCACACATTTATCATTGGTGATATTATAACGCTAACTATCAAGTGAATGAATATAAGCTCATTTATCCAATTGTTGTAAACGAGAACTCAGGTGGAGATGAATAATTTATTATTTAATACAAAATTAAAGAATATCTTGGTAAAAATATGCAAACCATACAATGAATACTTTATTTGCAAAATTCCATCATTTGACCTTCACATTCTGTATGGTTCTTCCAAGTCATAATTTCTTACTATATCCGTTTCTGTTTTCTTTAAATTGACCTTCATAGCCTTTTTCTGTTATGCATTCCTCTTCTGGTTGGTGTTACATGCTACTTATGTCGACATACATGAGTTCTTCTGAACGACGTACATCTACATTTATCTCCGGCCACCAGCATGTGAGCCTAGCCGAGGATTTCATTTTCTAAATACCTAAATGTCCATCATAATGATTTTCAAGGGCAGATCTACATAATGAAGGAGGAATAACAACACGACCATTAAAATACAAAATACCATCAGGAGTAGTGGATAACTCGTCCCGCTTTGAAAAATAGTCAGGAAATATACGTTTTGGATTAGCATTCCAACCTTTTCGTATGACACCGAGTATACATCAACAGTACCGACGAGTTTCTCTAGAGAGATCTGAATTTCTCACTGGTAAAAGGTTGTACTAACAAACAGTCGTCAGTATTAACAGGTTTATCGTGGAAAGATTTTCGAGATATGTAGTCGCTATGTTGAATTTGGCACTTCTGTGCTGAATCGTATAGTCATAGGCACTCAAAGCAATACTCCATCGTTGAACCATAGAAGATGAGGAACGTGCTAAGGATTTTTCAGGATTATAAATGAACTTTAAATCTTCGTGATCTGAAACAACAGTGAATTTGTCACCAAATAAATATTTCTGAACTCGTTTGACAGCCGAAAACACAGATAATTCTTCTCGCTGACTTTGTGAATAATCTTGTTCATTAACAGTAATTTTGTGTGAAACACAGATAACTGGTCTACCTTCCTGTTCTAAAACTGCGCCGATACCCACAAGTGATGCATCAGTAATAAGCATAGAATGTACACTAGAGGGGTAACTTTGAAGAACAGCATCACTTTGAAGGAACTTTAGCAGACTTCGTAAGCACGACACTTGTTCATCACCACATTTGAATGAATTCAATGTCAAAATATTAAATAGACAATTGGCAAAACAAGGTAAATTAGGAATAAAACGGAAATAGTACTGAAGAGCATCCACTAGTAAACAAGTCATCCGTACTGTAACAACTTATTGTACATTTATTGTTGTTGTGCTTGTATGAAATATGTATACTTGAACTTTGTTTCCGCCTACGCATCTATCCATCCTGCTAGCTTTATTATTAGCTGCTTAACTGATTCGATGATCTATTCATTTCCCTATATTTATAGACGTACATTTACACTCTACACTCACAGTTCGCTGACTCATTCATTTGCCTCTCTGCTTTCTGGTCTGAGTTATCTGCTAATAAAACTGTAGTTGCTACTTCTCTTTGCCTTCTGATTTCAAACACCGTTGAGGATTATATGGTAACGGTTACGAGGGTGATTGGTCAACGAAGCACAGCCACTGCAACCTCATACTAAAAACCGAATCGGTTCAATTACACGTTTAGCACACAAATTGTCCAATGTCTTATTTACTGTTTCTCAAGGACCATAAGGGATTATTCGTCTTTTAAGAAAAATTGGATCACCCTGTACTTCAAGTTTTATGAGCTGAATTTTCTTACCTCCACTGCACTTATCACATTCAGCTATCAAATCTTTAGGCAAAGCACCAGACTTTTCTTTAGAAACTAATAAAAAAACTCCATTTTAAGCCTTTTCAAATTTATTATACCCAGCATTCACAGACATTTTCACTAACTAAAAACACACAAGGCATCTATGAAGAGCAACCGTCTCTTATTAGCAACCCAAAGCATCTCATTAACAGATTTTGTGCAGTAATGCCCAATAATGAGACTTCAGTGGGTCGTACTACAACATTAAAATCTAAAGATTTAGATTTTCTAAAATGAAATAATGGACTCTAGACATCTTGTGTCAAAAATAAAGTCATAGATTAAACCAAGAGAGCTATATAATCACTTTCAAATATGGACATTACCTTTCAAAATCGTGGACAAAGATACACAGTCATTAGAAAAACCAAACCTAAAAAAATTTGAACAACAGGGATTGTCATCACTAGTGAAAAACGAACAGTAACTCTACAAATCCCCTTAATGTACCCCATTTTACAACGGTTAAAGTATTTCAGATTAGGATTCAGATTTGTTTAGTAAGGATAGAAAGTCTACGGCCTATGTTATTTCACTTCTAGTATGCTTCTGTGAGTGTCTAATCTTCTGTTGAATGAGTCAAGTGAAGGTGCGAATGCCACTACCTCTAGTAACATGTCCCAAAAATCGAGGACATTTTGTATGCCACGTGTATTTTGTTTGTTCTTGGCATTTCTACTTGCCTGCTATGTTCTCTATTTATCCCAATCTGGTAGGAAGAAAAAGAGAGGATATATTAGGTCCAAAATCGCTTCTTAGTACCCTACACATCAAAGCCAGGTCACCTCTTAATCTGTGAAAAGCCAGGGTAAAGAGGTCTAGCTTTCCAAGCCGCTCTGTGTATAGTAAACCCCGTAGGTCTGGGGTTCCACTGGTATACTTCCAATGTACCTTTTCCAGGACATCCAAGTAGTCTGCATCTACCAACATGACTCAAACTAGAGGTTAGTGTATTCGAGCACTGATGCCACGTTTTGGTTTGGCCGCCCCTTATTCTCTTCCAACCATCCCTAACACCCGTTAGCATTGAACGACGTGGTAATCGGTGTTCAGGCATACGCACACGTGGCCCAACCATCTCAGTCGATGAAGATTCATAACCTCATCAACTGATTTACCACCCTTCCCTAATACCCTGCGTCTAACCTCACTATTACTTACCCGGTGATCCCAACAGACGCCAGCAATATTTCTAAGGCATCTGTGGTTAAATACTAGTAGCTTACGGGTGTCTTCTACTCTTAAAGGTAACACACCTTAACAAAGTGACATATTGAACATAGTAGTCAATGGAGCAGTAATATATTGTGCAATTTATTACGAGATTTCAGAATGTAGTTCATCCGGTTCTGTTGACATTTCCGTCTCTAAAGTGCCAATAGCCTTAAGTACATCGACTCTGTCGAAGTCCACAGTAAGCAGACGGTTTGTTGATTTTGTGTTTAAGTCTAGCTGTTCGTCTAAAAGACGTGTAGAAATACGGTTTACCTCGTTATTAGTACTTCTCTAATAATAGGCCTAATCATATAATTGTAAATTTTTAACGACATAACTGTTTAATCTATAAGATCTTACGTGGAAATCACATCATCGCCTCGTAGTGTGGCGGTTAGCACTCTGGACTCTGAATCCAGCGACCCCAGTTCGTGTCTCGGTGAGGCCTCCAGCCCCCGAATGCCCTGGTATGGCCGAGAGTGGGGGGAGTCCGCTCTCCCTCTCGAAATACTCTCACACGGCCACGCGTATACAGCCTCTGCCAGGGAAGTCTTACTCACTGTCTTCTCGTAGCGGGGTGTTGTTTACAAAAATGAGAGGACGAAAAGCGAATGTCCGGCGCTTTAACAGGATTCCAAACCAATGGTGCACATGGGCTCCAGTATCCTGAGGTAACAAGTGGCGTATGAACCAATCGTTGGTCGCCGGCTACCATGGGACTGCATTTTTTCACGATGCTTCACTGCCTTGTGGGTTAGACCTTTAGGTCAAGGGCTCGGGGTGTGGCCCCCTAAGATAACCAGTTGCTTCGGTCTGGGCACCCGGGCAGTATCACAGCCCGCACGCAAATGATGAACTCTCTATATCTATGGAAACTACTTTTCTCGCTTCGAAAAACAATCAAATAGTTAAAATTATTATCATTAATATTTTTGTCGTTATTATTATTATTATTATTATTATTATTATTATTATTATTATTATTATTAACCACATTATTCGCCCTCTTTTATACTTATATAGCGGCTCGTCTTTGATGGAAATTCGACTGTATCTAAACGTTCTCGAGTCACTGTCCGGTTGAAAATTGTATGTTTCCACTGAATATGAGTACTGAAGCAGTTTTTCTGAAACCACATGCACCATTCAAACTGGCTGTCTTCAACATTCGCACACTTATGCAGGTTGGACAACAGATAGGGCTGGCTATGTCTTTGGAAAGTCTTAATATCGATGTCTGCTGCCTATCCGAGACCCGCATTCAAGACTCTGGTGAATTGCTACAAATTTGCTCTACAGCTGTCACTTCAAAAAGCTTGTTTTACGTGCGCTTATCCGGGGACCCTGTGGCATCTTCGTCTGGTCTTGCTGGCGTTGGTGTCGCACTAAGCGCTAGAGCTGAGGCAGCACTAGCCGATTGGATCCCCCATTAACAGTCGGTTATGTGCTGTTAGATTAGAAAGTTCCATCAAAGTGAGAAGAAATCGGCGTGAGAAACGATGTCTTTTCGTCATCTCCGCCTATGCCCCGATAGATTGCAGCCCAGATGCAATCAAGGATGAGTTTTACCACCATTTACCCGTTCTTCTCCAGAAAGTGCGTTCGACAGATATTGTAGTACTAGCCGGAGACTTGAATGCTCAGGTCGGGTTTCTGGGCACAGAAGAGAGTCGTTTAGGTAGCCGATGGGGACTCGTTGGTTGCAGGTCAGATAACGGGGACCGTCTACTGCAACCCTGCACAGACCACAACCTGTTTCTGGCTAGCACTGACTTTCGGCACAGTCATCGCCGCTGTGCCACCTGGCATCCTCCCTCTGCATCTCAAGCCTGGACTCAGATTGATCACATCGCGATCAGCTACCGCTGGCGTGGTTGTGTACAAGACTGCCGCTCCTTTTGGAGTACCTGTCTGGACTCTGACCATGCCTTGGTATGCGCCGATCTTACCTTACTTTTAAGTGGACAACGAAGTGACCGCCACAAACGGATTGATGTTAGCAAGCTGGTTGCAACTCCTGTTGCTAGTAAGTATCGAACCGAGCATTGGTTGCAACTGCAAAGCTTGCGTAAGGACCGAGAAGCCTGGTGGTCGAAGCGTGCTAATGAGCTGGAAGTGGCAGCGGCATCTGGTAATTACCGGAAGCTCTTGCAACTCATCCGAGCCACTGGAAGCAAGAAGTCTGGTGTGAGTGAAACAATCTGCGAGGATGACGAGATGCCAATCACTAACATCTGTCGACGTTTTGGACGATGGACAGAATTCTTCGAAGGACAGTTCAACTGGCCTGCTGTTCGGGCAACATCGGTCAGACTGTCCTGCCCTCCATGGCCGGTGGCGACTGATCCACCATATGAGACGGAAGTCCTCAAGCAACTACAACCCATAAAACGCTACAAATCACCGGGCCCAGATGACTTACCTCCGGCTCCTTTTAAAGATGGTGGTGACTTCCTGACTAAGGTTGTTCGAAACCCGAGAAAGATTGACTCGCGAAGAGCAGGCTGAGTTTCGTCCCGGTCGAGGATGTATTGAACATATCTTCACCCTCCGCAAAATGTTATAACACCACCATACTTATCAAAGGCCAACGATCGTAGTGTTTCTTGACATCAAGGCTGCCTTCGTTTCGTTGGACAGGACTGTTCTCTGAGATTGTCTATTGAAGAAGGGTTTGCCTGAGAAGTTTATTAACATCCTTAAGGCTTTATATACAAACACCTCAGGCAGACTGAAGGCATACACCCACCTTACTCCATTGTTCCATTCAAGCAGTGGGGTTAGACAGAGTTGCCCAGTCTCGCCATTCCTCTTCAACTTTGCCATCGATGACATTCTGGAAACAGCTCTGATGGATGTAAGTAATAGCGGGTGGATCTGTTGCCTGGAGAAAGACTTCTCGACCTTGAGTATGCGGACGGTATTGTCTTACTGTGCGATTATGCTCAAGGCATGCAATCCGCACTTAATCAGTTGGCAATCAGTGTCCGTAGGTATGGTATGTGCTTTGCACCTTCGAAGTGCAAAGTACTTCTACAAGACTGGAAGGATTCTAATCCTGTACTCACCCTGGATGGTGAGCAGATAGAAGTAGTCGAGAAGTTCGTGTATCTGGGTAGCTGCATAAGTGCTGGTGGGGGTGTGAGAGATGAGATCAATGCACGTATAGTGAAAGCCAGAGCGGCTTATGCCAATCTGGGCCACCTTTGGCGCCTTCGTGATGTTAGTCTGGCTGTAAAAGGTCGGATCTACAACGCGTCGGTGAGAGCAGTCTTGCTCTATGCTTGTGAAACCTGGCCTCTCCGAGTTGAGGATGTTAGACGACTCTCTGTGTTCGATCATCGCTGTCTCCGAAGGATTGCCGACATTCAGTGGCAACACCATGTCAGCAATGCAGAGGTTCGGCATCGTATGTTCGGGCACAGAGATGATAATGCAATCGACGTCACCATCTTGAAACACCGACTTCAGTGGCTTGGACATGTTCTACGAATG